TCCACTTATCACAAAAAAGGTAAGTGTTCTTTCAGCAAAACGAAAACAATTCACATATTAAAAGAAAGCTATAAATTGGCCTTTCATATCCTAGATTTTGATAGTGCTAGAACTTTCCCGACAGTTGGGTTTCGTTTTCTTTACTCATCCTATGTGTGTACGTTATGACTGATTGAAAAATCTGATCTACATGCATCTATATCAAATGCTGTATCGCAATGTTGTTGAACAAAAACAGTTTGCATCTAAATGGAGGAAGATTGGTCTCGAAGCAAATTTGAAGAAGAAACAAAGATGAAAATCGAAATGTTAGTTCTTGCAAACTTAAATTCATGAAGCCATTGCATAGAAGGTTTATTCTGGAAAGCGAAGTTAGTTTAAATCATTAAACTCAAGGGACTTTTTTAGGGGCTCCACCATTTTTGAGTAAATGTTACATGTGCTTTCAACCAATGAATTACTCAAATTTAGCAAATCTTTATTCACATTGGCCTATAAAGCAAATTTTGACCGTTGCAGTTATGGTGTGGAAGATCTTGGTAGTGACTAAATGTGGCACGTTTTGATTCGCTTACGCATGTTGCATTTTTTTGGTAATTTTCATCAAGATTTTAGTATGTGAATTGTCACGTGAGTGCTCCTTTAATCCAAGGCAAAACAAATTAATGGCCTAAATATAAATAGGCTTTTTTTACAAAAGCATTTGTTGCAAAAAAAAATAGAATAATTTAAAAATAGGCTAAACCTGCAAAGTTTATAACTTCATCATTTGCGCAGAATTCAGGTGCAAGCGAAGATTTTTAAATTAAAAAAATGAGCACTGTTTATAACTTTGACATAATATTTAAGATATTTTTCTATCCAAAAAAAAGCAAAAAAAAAAGTATGGAATTGGAAATATTGTTCATAACGCAAAGTAACATTATACAATTAGCAAATACAAGAATAACTATAGCTTGTGATATTTTGTCAAGTATTACATTGGTATGTATATATCTTTCTCAACTTTGTATGTAGCTGTACATATTATATATCCATATGGATGTTATTTTGGATATCATTGAGTATTTGGTGATGGGGTAGCTATAAATCTGATATATACATGTATAGCAATCATTGATGATTATTTGGTAGTGGCTGAGCTTGTACTGTGTATGAAGAATAAAATAACCGGACACCGAAAAGTGCATTAAATAATTGAATTAAAACCAGACTCGACTCAATCATTGGCAGCATTTTTGTCCTGTATCTTTACCAAAAAGAAAGGTTTTTTTTTTACTTGCCCATGTGCAAGGTGCTTGGGTGAAATCGAATGTATACTTTGGTTTGCCGTCAAATTCAAATGTATCGATCCAACCGCGTAGCATGCATCGCCCCAACTATTGCTGGAATCACAGTGGAACGTCGCTTTACCGACCATTTTGCTATACCGAACACCACTATACCGAACATTTTGCTATATCGAACATCTGCTAATGGACCGATCCAGTAAGCCCCTCCCACTGTGCACGTGGGCAAATTAACACGTGCTCCTCTCCAATGCCACACTGCATTTTCCTGCTGCGCGCATCATACGCGCGTGCACGCATGTCGGACTTTTGTGCGCACATGTCGGACATAAATCACGACTGTGATTGGTCAGAATACCATGGGGCGGTGCTTACTGGATCGGTCCATTTGGCTTTCCTTTTTTGTGCAAAACGTACAGAACGTCTTTCAAAAATGTCGACAGAAGACTGGCGACAAGTTGCTATATCATTTCTGCAAGGAATATAAGGGGAAAGCCACCCATTGCTGTAGGTAATAAGCTCAACAACTCTGTAATTACAGTCGGCACGTGTACAAACTAGTTATCTTTCAGTAAGTACCAGGCCGGACGTACGTGCAGGGTGATGTTTTGAAGCGCGCTCTAATATTTATTGAAAAGTGAGTATCTGTACCGGATTACATTAAATTAGTGCACCCCGCACAATGTTTTTTTTTTGAGAAAGGAGACCATTTGGCTTTATTAAATAATGGTGGAATGGTGTAAATATATAGCCGGGGGTCAACTCCCTGGTTTTGGAACTTCCATCTGAGGCAGAGTTGATCAAATTACGGTTGAAAAATAGGTCCTTAGAAAGTGAAGGGATGCGCCTTGTAAAATTGCTCCATGTGCAAGCTTGGGAAGTACTGTATCACTTTTCGGGAGGTGAGTTTGGCGCATGGTGTGAATATTTAAAAATGTAATTGACTCACCAACCAAAAATTGAAAAGAAATAGGAAAGATGAAGGACAAGACAATAATTGAATTTTTGTTTGAGAAACCCCAGTGATGTCAGCTTGCATGTTATATTTGGCCCTGAACTTTTTTGATTTTACACTGTTTTCAATGGGGCTTGAATGGGTCCGCGCACGTGAGTTTTTGCTTTTTCCATTTAAAAAATATATATATAATGCGCCAGCTATCATGAGAGGGCGGTATTCTACCAAATCGGTCACTGTATAAAAAGGAAGTGCACGGCCACCACGCTGTCTGTAGAGTGGTGAACGCTTTTAAAATACGCCCAAAACTCGGCAAAAGTAAGACAATAATTTTCTGACAAACTTGTAGTTGGGTATGTGAGGGGAGATAAAAATGATTTCTCAGAATTTATCAACTTCAAAAGAAATTCTTTAATTTTTAATGTGTTTTTTTCCCCAGGCCAGGATTTGTTCAAGTGGGCGTTCATGACGGTTTAACATGTAGGAACACTCGGCTGAATTTGCGCCCAATTTCCGGTACTAAGGCAGTGGATATTTAGCCGGAGACGGCAAACCTTTAGTAAACGTTAGCTTGCCGGATATGCACTGAACATGCGCAGTTACTGTTTCTTTGTACTTTAACATTTTCCGGTGACATTTTCCGGTTGCTTATAACTTTATATAAGTTATATTCACAATCGTTAGCGGTAATTTAATATAGACCTTTCCGCGCTTGGTTGGCAAACGGCATTTTTGCTAACCACGGCCTGCAAAACTATGGAAGGTCCAACACTGTAAAAATGAAGAAGAGTTATTATAGAGCACCAAAATATTTATTTGATACTTGAAAATACAACATTTTCAACAAAGCTACAAAATAATTCCAACATAGGCCTAGGTATGCCTTTTTAGTTTACTATGTGTTGATGGCGTTATGAGGACTTTTTTGGAAAAATATGTTGCCAACCACGGCTTCAATTTATGCGCTTATGGCAGCCCATACAAAATGGCGCCAATGTTTACAAACAAAAGAAAGGCCTATATCTCATAATTCAGCCCTGTCTTAGAGAGTACAGCGCCCTCTGTTGATAGGGATAGCCACCGGCAAACCTTTAGTAAACGTTAGCTTGCCGGGATTACCGGTCGCCGGCAAAATATCCAAGTGCTACTTCTGAAATCAGAAGGCTTCTCTCCGTCTACTGATTTCAGAAGTATCTATCAAATGGCACTCAAAAGAGACATTCTGATATTTCTTGACACATCTGAACAGTTGCCAATGACACCATCATGACCATCTTGAATATCACTGTCAGCAGGTTTAATTTTGTGGAAAGAGGGCAGGGCTTTGATTTATGTTATGAGGTATGTGAGGGAAATTAATGGGTACAAGACAACGACGACAACCAGAAAACAGACTAAAAAAACAAGATGGCAAATGTTAAAGCTAGATGCAATGAAAGCTCAATACTGATTGGCTGATAACAAAAAAAATATTTTATTTATTATTTTAGCAGCCGATCAGCATCGGGATTTCATTATGACTGTCGGACTTTCACTCGTGTTGTGAGAACTACAACATTTTTTTGTCAAGAAAGAGGTTTTGCATCACTAGGCCTACATGGGCAAAGTCGGGGCCGGGGGAAACGTCAAAGTGCCCTGTATGCCTGGTGCTCTGCTTTGTGGAGCATCCAGTTTGTCACGTTTATAGTAGCTAGGAAATACCTCTGTGTATAGTCTATACATACATTCTTTCCTATTATTATCAGAGGTGCCGAGCTGGTCAGGTGCTGAGTCGGCTGTGTGCCGAGTTGGTTTTTGTACAGCATATTACCATGTACAGGTGCCGAGTTGGTGGGTGCCGAGCTGGCAAGGTGCTAAGTTGGTGCCGAGTTGGCAGGTGCCGGAGTGACCGGTAGGCTAGGCCTACATGTTTGCTTACCTTGCTGGGAAACAGTGAAGTCATATCGTCATCAGACCCCCTAAAATAACGTGGTCCTATTTCGACGCACTCGCATTCAATTTGCGTTGGACACGGGCGCATGCATTGCAAGAGTTACCTGTGCTGATTATGGTGACTCAAGGATAATGAAAGTACACATCAAATGCATTTTGGAACACATGAAGTGGGAAGAATTCCATACATGTACATGGACATCACTAATTATCAGCCATCAGAAAGCGATAACATGACCTAAAGGCTAAAAAGTCAAATTTAGTTGGGAAAATATTGAAGCATTTACTGAGAAAACCCTTTAAATTGTTCAGACCAGTCTCATAGGGTTTGTGCACAGGGTGTCAAGTGATGTCCAGGTATGGAAATACTTCTGACGAAGTGAATCAGTGTGTCTATAATAATAATAATAATAATAGTGGATATTTATAAAGCGCACGTATCCACCAGGACTGGTGCTCAAGGCGCTACATCATTATGACCCTGCCCATTGGGCACATGAAACATTCCAAATACTATCTCAGCTCCCTAGGGAGTATACAGCTCGATGCAGCCTGTTAAGCGCAAGGAAGCTAATTAACACAATACCATCTCTGCCCTCACAGGTACCCATTTACTCCTGGGTGGAGAGAAGCAATGAGTGACAAAGTGCCTTGCCCAAGGGCACACACACCATGACCCCGCCAGGACTCGAACCCACAAACTGCAGCTTTACCCACAGACCACGAATAAGTGCCCTTAACCACGAGGCCACAGTACTCCACGTACTATACATGTACGTATGTCTTTAATGTGTTTGTGTTTCCATTGCATTCTCCAGGTATCAACCCTGAAAACTACCTCTTATTCTGTGTGGAATCAGATGATTCTGAATCAATCAAGGAGAGACTTCTAGTTCAAAAGAAGGTAACATCCAGCCTGTGTGATGGTTCCATAATCTTTGACATGCAGTAGTTGGACTGATGTTTGCCTTACACAGGGGAGTGCATTCCAGTAATCCATCACACGTACGTTGACTAAACCAATAATGTCTAAGTAAAACCCTGGAACCTAGACCTGCACAATTTCACATCATGGCCTCTTCACCTCTGCTGAAGCAGTTAGCAAGATCTTAGCCTTCATCAAACCCCTTTAGTAACTTGAGGGTTTCAATTAAACCCCATCACAGCCTTCTACATTTCAAAGTGTCCCTACTTAACTTTCTTTCAGTTTGTCATCAGGAGTCCATTTTATCGGAAATGCAATGATTCCATGATTGATGTGGTAAACCAGTATTTTGTCCACGGAGCGAAATCCTGTATAACGTCTGATATCTCCTGAGATGCAAATTTATGCAGGCTGAGCGCCAGCCAATCGGAGTCGACTTTATTAAATCCTGACGTCATTTCATTCCCAAATCAGGACTGGATGGTTTGATTAGTCAATTCGAATTCAGTGTTTTGTCATGCAGCAACAACCGGCCCCATATCGCGTAACATGATACAGAGCGTGTGACACGTTGATGTGCACCGTGGCGAGTCCGAAAGGGGCACTGTTTCCGCCTTGCCCTTCCGTGGGTTGGTGGGTGTTTTTGTCCGGACAAATCTTGAGATCTTGAAAAATACTTGTTAATTTGGTTTGTGGATTGTTCTTGGTATTTTTAAGAAGCCTATTGCATTTTGGGCCGAAAGGTCGGGCGCATGGAGGTGCGCGCTCGATTGATCGCATCTGTTCGCGCGTAATACATAGACTAGCATTTTTGTAGCCTGTCAACTGAATGTGTTCTTTTAGTTTGGTGTGTGTTTTTATTGCATTCTCAAGGTGGTAACACAGTACAACCAAGTCCCGTTCTGTCATGGAATCAGCTGATTCCGAATGCATCAAGGAGATTTCTAGAAGGTAACATTCAGCCTGTGTGATCATTCCGTAATCTTTGACATTCGGTAGTCATGGTAGTAGGACTGATGTTTGCCTTCAGGGGAGTGCATTCCAGTTTTCTATCCCACGTCTTTAAGTAGAGCAGTTGAACCTGTACAATTTCAGTTAGCACGATGTTAGCCTTAGGTTTACCCCTTCTCAGTAACCTTGACAGTTTCCATTAAATCTTATCACAGCCTCCTTCATTCCAAAGTGTTCTACTTATGTTTCTTAAATTTGTCTTCAAGGTATCGTTTCGATTTGCGATAACACCATGTAGTTATAACTACTGCTCAGTAGATATTTAGTTCTGAAAGGAACTTGTCCTGCTTATTACCTTTCGCTAAGTAGTTTAGTTCTGATAAGAACAGTCCTGCTTCAAGTTCTAAAAGAACTTGTCTTTGGTGTCAACGTTTCGACTAGCCTGCTCTGGTCATCGTCAGTCTCCTGACGATGATGTCGATGGAGTTCTGCAAATCGAAACGATACTGATACTCCACCATGCAAAGCCTAAAATCTTATATCTTCAATGCAACAAAGACAAAATCATTCTCAGAACTCTCACTTCTTATGCACATTAGGTCAAAGTTTTTATGTCAGAATGGTCATGATGAGGTCTTGCTAATGCACGGTATAGCATTTTGGTTTTACTTCAGTTGAAATGATTCTCATCAATAACATATTTTCCCCATAAGTGAAGTCTATAGATGAGGAACTGAATGCATCATGAAAATAACTAGATTGATGGTATTCAAAAAATAAAATCAATATAAAATTTGACGATGTAAAATAATTACATAAATAAAGTTTCACAAAAGCACTTGAAATCAAATGGCACAAATGAAATCAATGTAACATCTGTGTAAAGATAAATTTATTTTGCAAAGTACAACGCAGACTTTATGGCTAGATATGTTTTTAGCTGATAATGCAGCCTCCCCACCCCCTCCCTTTTTATTATTTTTTCTGATCTCAGAGATTCCTGTTCTGTGACAACACCGACTAAAAAGTGCTTTCCTTTGTGGAACCTGAAGAATCAGATCCAATTGCTCCCAGACCTCGTGAAGATTAGCATCCAGCCTGTGTGATGAAGCTGCCATAATCCTCATACAGCCTGCTGAGAAAAGACAGATAGTTGTAATATAGTTGATGCAACTATCGGCCATCAAGATAACAGCTTTAGAAAATGGACACAAAGTAAAGATATTTGTTTGTTTTCTCTGCAAAAAACCTCATCAAGCTTTAAGCTGAACTGTTGCCAGAGGATCCATACCATACTATAGTTAGAGACTGTCTCCTTGTTAGACCTGTGGTATAGCCTTTTCTAGGGAATCTACACGTACACGAGAGGGCACATAGTGGACGAAAACCGTTTGTTTTGAGAACCAAGTACTTGTCTTGAGCAACATAATCTATGAAAGTAACAGGAGAGTCCATGATTGATAAAAAACAATTTGTTTTATGTAAGGCCTGTGGTAAAGCCATTTACAATTTACATGACACCCCGCATACTGAAGAGAAAGCGTATGTTTATGGAACGTGTAGTAAAGTCATTTCTGTAGGTAGCCTAAACAGTCGAGATGAACACAAATGCGAAACCATTTGTTTGTGAGACCTGTGGTAAAGCCTTTTCTGGTAAAAGTGATCTAGGCGTACATGAGAGGGTTCATACAGGTGAGAAACCATTTGTTTGTGGGACCTGTGGTAAAGCCTTTTCTTCTAAAAGGAGTCTATGTGAACATGAAAGGGTCCACACTGGTGAGAAACCATTTGTTTGTGAGACCTGTGGTAAAGCCCATTCTTCTCACAGTAATTTAAGATCACATGAGAGGGTTCATACAGGTGAGAAACCATTTGTTTGTGAGACCTGTGGTAAAGCCTTTTCTTTTAAAAGGAGTCTATGTAAGCATGAGAGGGTCCACACTGGTGAGAAACCATTTGGTTGTGAGACTTGTGGTAAAGCCTTTTCTCAGCTAAGTCATCTTAAAGCACATATCAGGGTGCACACTGGTGAGAAACCATTTGTTTGTGAGACCTGTGGTAGAGCCTTTTCTTCTCAAAGTTATCTACGCAAACATAAGAAGGTTCATGATCATACTGGTGAGAAACCATTTGTTTGTGAGACCTGTGGTAAAGCTTTTTCTGATAAAAGTAATCTACGCGTTCATGAGAGGGTTCATACAGGTGAGAAACCTGTTTGTGAGACCTGTGGTAAAGGCTTTTCTACTCAAAGTCAACTACGCTTACATGAGAGGATGCACACTGGTGAGAAACCATTTGTTTGTGAGACCTGTGGTAAAGCCTTTTCTTCTGAAAGTTATCTATGTGTACATGAGAAGGTTCATCATACAGATGAGAAACCGTTTGTTTGTGAGACCTGTGGTAAAGCCTTTTCTGGTAAAAGTGATCTACGCGTACATGAGAGGGTTCATACAGGTGAGAAACCATTTGTTTGTGGGTCCTGTGGTAAAGCCTTTTCTTCTAAGAGGAGACTATGTGAACATGAGAGGATCCACACTGGTGAGAAACCATTTGTTTGTGAGACCTGTGGTAAAGCCCATTCTTCTCACAGTAATTTAAGATCACATGAGAGGGTTCATACAGGTGAGAAACCATTTGTTTGTGAGACCTGTGGTAAAGCCTTTTCTTTTAAAAGGAGTCTATGTAAGCATGAGAGGGTCCACACTGGTGTGAAACCATTTGGTTGTGAGACTTGTGGTAAAGGCTTTTCTCAGCTAAGTCATCTTAACGCACATATGAGGGTGCACACTGGTGAGAAACCATTTGTTTGTGAGACCTGTGGTAGAGCCTTTTCTTCTCAAAGTTATCTACGAAAACATAAGAAAGTTCATGATCATACCGATGAGAAACCATTTGTTTGTGAGACCTGTGGTAAAGCCTCAACTACTAAAGGTTATCTACGCATACATGAGAAGGTTCATACAGATGACAAACCTGTTTGTGAGACCTGTGGTAAAGGCTTTTCTACTCAAAGTCAACTACGCTTACATGAGAGGGTGCACACTGGTGAGAAACCATTTGTTTGTGAGACTTGTGGTAAAGCCTTTTCTTCTGAAAGTTATCTACGTGTACTTGAGAAGGTTCATCATACAGATGAGAAACCGTTTGTTTGTGAGACCTGTGGTAAAGCCTTTTCTGGTAAAAGTGATCTACGGGTACATGAGAGGGTTCATACAGGTGAGAAACCATTTGTTTGTGGGACCTGTGGTAAAGCCTTTTCTTCTAAAAGGAGACTATGTGAACACGAGAGGATCCACACTGGTGAGAAACCATTTGTTTGTGAGATCTGTGGTAAAGCTCATTCTTCTCACAGTAATTTAAGATCACATGAGAGGGTTCATACAGGTGAGAAACCATTTGTTTGTGAGACCTGTGGTAAAGCCTTTTCTTTTAAAAGGAGTCTATGTAAGCATGAGAGGGTCCACACTGGTGTGAAACCATTTGGTTGTGAGACCTGTGGTAAAGGCTTTTCTCAGCTAAGTCATCTTAATGCACATATGAGGGTGCACACTGGTGAGAAACCATTTGTTTGTGAGACCTGTGGTAGAGCCTTTTCTTCTCAAAGTTATCTTCGAAAACATAAGAAGGTTCATGATCATACCGGTGAGAAACCATTTGTTTGTGAGACCTGTGGTAAAGCCTCAACTACTAAAGGTTATCTACGCATACATGAGAAGGTTCATACAGATGACAAACCTGTTTGTGAGACCTGTGGTAAAGGCTTTTCTACTCAAAGTCAACTACGCTTACATGAGAGGGTGCACACTGGTGAGAAACCATTTGTTTGTGAGACCTGTGGTGAAGCCTTTTTTTCTGAAAGTTATCTACGTGTACATGAGAAGGTTCATCATACAGATGAGAAACCGTTTGTTTGTGAGACCTGTGGTAAAGCCTTTTCTGGTAAAAGTGATCTACGGGTACATGAGAGGGTTCATACAGGTGAGAAACCATTTGTTTGTGGGACCTGTGGTAAAGCCTTTTCTTCTAAAAGGAGACTATGTGAACATGAGAGGATCCACACTGGTGAGAAACCATTTGTTTGTGAGATCTGCGGTAAAGCTCATTCTTCTCACAGTAATTTAAGATCACATGAGAGGGTTCATACAGGTGAGAAACCATTTGTTTGTGAGACCTGTGGTAAAGCCTTTTCTTTTAAAAGGAGTCTATGTCGGCATGAGAGGGTCCACACTGGTGGGAAACCATTTGGTTGTGAGACTTGTGGTAAAGGCTTTTCTCAGCTAAGTCATCTTAACGCACATTTGAGGGTGCACACTGGTGAGAAACCATTTGTTTGTGAGACCTGTGGTAGAGCCTTTTCTTCTCAAAGTCATCTACAAAAACATAAGAAGGTTCATGATCATTCTGGTGAGAAACCATTTGGTTGTGAGACCTGTGGTAAAGGCTTTTCTCAGCTAAGTCATCTTAACGCACATATAAGGGTGCACGCTGGTGAGAAACCATTTGTTTGTGAGACCTGTGGTAGAGCCTTTTCTTCTCAAAGTTATCTTCGAAAACATAAGAAGGTTCATGATCATACCGGTGAAAAACCGTTTGTTTGTGAGACCTGTGGTAAAGCCTTAACTACTAAAGGTTATCTACGCATACATGAGAAGGTTCATACAGATGACAAACCTGTTTGCGAGACCTGTGGTCATCTTAACGCACATATCAGGTTGCACAGTGGTGAGAAATCATTTGAGAAGGTTAATCATACAGATGAGAAACCATTTGTTTGTGAGACCTGTGGTAGAGCCTTTTCTTCTCAAAGTTACCTACCAAAACATAAGAAGGTTCATGATCATACCGGTGAGAAGCCATTTGTTTGTGAGACCTGTGGTAAAGCCTTTTCTGATAAAAGTAATCTACGCGTACATGAGAGGGTTCATACAGGTGAAAAACCATTTGTTTGTGGGACCTGTAGTAAAGCCCTTTCTTCTAAAAGGATACTTTGTGAACACGAAAGGGTCCACACTGGTGAGAAACCATTTGTTTGTGAGACCTGTGGTAAAGCCCATTCTTCTCACAGTAATTTAAGATCACATAAGAGGGTTCATACAGGTGAGAAACCATTTGTTTGTGAGACCTGTGGTAAAGCCTTTTCTTTTAAAAGGAGTCTATGTAAGCATGAGAGGGTGCACACTGGTGAGAAACCATTTGGTTGTGAGACCTGTGGTAAAGCTTTTTCTCAGCTAAGTCACCTTAAAGCACATATCAGGGTGCACAGTGGTGAGAAACCATTTATTTGTGAGTTCTGTGGTAAAGCCTTTTCTCGACGAAGTGATCTATGCCACCACAAGAGGGTTCATACAGGTGAGAAACCATTTGTTTGTGAGACCTGTGGTAAAGCCTTTTCTCGACGATGTAGTCTTCAAACACATATCAAGGTGCACCACAATTGATAGACACCATTTGTTTGTGAGATCAGTTGCGAAGTCTTTGCTAGTCAAAGTCGCTAATATGCGTCAGAGGGTACTAGTGACGAAGCTATGCATTTTCGTGAGACCTGTGGTAAAGCCTTTTCTGACATTTTTTCTAATAAGGAAACAGAATGGTTCAAACTGGGGTACATTTTTTGATATAACTGTGAGCATTAACTTGCAAAGCTTTGTAGTATTTTTTTAGTACATTTTTGTTGCGTTTAATTGTTAATTATAATATATTTCTTATATAAAACCATTCAAACAAATGATAACATAAAGGCCATCAGCCTGGGGGTTTGGTCAGTATCAAATCAGGGCATAAATGATTAGTGTGCACATGCGCAAGGTACACCGCCCCTAGAGTGGTAACAAGCATTTTTATAGACATTTTGAAGAAAAAAAAGTTGATAACCCTCAAAAAGCTGCCACCGCTGCAATGCTACCACTTATTTTCTGACTCTTGAGGTGTATACCTCGCCAAAAATCCCCATGGCGATTATTTCCCTCATTTGATACCGGTGGCCAAAATTTTGGACGAGGCTGATGGCCTAATAAGGTAGATGCTTAATATATGGATAGTACATGAACCTGTGACAGAGTAAACTGGTGATTTTTGGACAGTGATTTTGCCTACCTATGTAAAAGTCTACAGGGGTCCAATGTACATGTAACTGGGTCGCATCAAACACGGGTAGGTGAGGCATACTGTTCACACTAAAGACCGGGTTGTATACGGGGTCAGCTGTAGATTGGGGATTTTTTTACCCAGGGTAGAGCTTCTCAACTCTGTTCATGACCAGGCCTGGATTTTACCTGTGTAGTGCACTGGACCCCTGTAGGAGCCGTGTTGCGTTCTTGGTAGTGTGAAATGGTTCCGAAATCTCCACCTTAGGCCTGGGTCCAATCGCTAATGGGTATAGGTGAGGCATACCATTCACACTTACACTGGGTTGTACAGGGTGATTCCGAATGATCTGGACCCAAGTTCACCATTTGTTTGTGGCAAAAAGAACATAGCGACAAAAAGACTTAAAATGGTAGCTGTGGCTGTGGTGAGGAGTTATGCCATAAATTCAGTGGCTCATTTTCCAGTCTGCACACGGAATTGGTTTTTTTTCTTAAATGTGTCAATATCTTCAAGTGTGTCTGTCACCATGACTAGTATTTTCTACTGCACTGCATGCTTCACATCAGTACACGATTTCAATAAATTTGTTGAACCATGGAACCGTAGTCAGAGTGGTTTTCTTTAGCATGTGTGCTTTGCTTTTCTTCAAAATGGTACAATGGATATATACAGGCCCGGATTATAGGCACAGTGCCTAAGTTCGGGCCTACGAAAAATTCGTGGGGCTACGAAAAAACCGCTGTGTGCCATAAAACACATATAGGCCTACCAACACGCACTCACGCAGAGAACAGTTTTCTAAAACGTTTTTAAACAGTTTTAGGGTCTCTCTCAGAATTTTCTATTTCACCAACTGACGCTGTGCAATGTACATCATGTAGGTGTCATAACTGTAGGCTCTAGCTACAAATACAATATACGAAGTATGTTGTGTAAAGCGAGGTGCCAACCATATGCGTCAATGGATGGGGGCGGGGACATATTAACGCCCCCGACTATTTTTGTCCCCAAGTATAAAAAATTGTAACCTACATTTTGCATTTTGATTCTATAGCTCAGAATAGCTGATTCAATGACTCCAAACTCGAAAATGATGATAAAATGATGATCTTTTGCTAAAACAAATATTGGTTAAAGTGATCAGAAATTGCCTCAGATCGCACGACAGAGCGTCTAGAATCCATTTTTTCTCGGGGCCCTTCAGCGGGCCCCGAAACCCACGCCGTGTAGGCTTCGCACTCACCAGGCCCGGATTAAGTGTTTCGTAGGCCCTTGATAAGATACCATTGTTCGTAGGCCCTACTCCGCCCTAGGCACGGTGTGGACGGTAATTCTGTCCCCCGTTAAAAGTGTCCTCCCCGGCCCGCTAATTCTGTCCCCCTTCAGGTAATTCTGTCCCCTCCAGGTTTTTTTGTACCCCTAGTTTTGCAGCGCAGAAGGCCAGTAATTCCCTATAATTATTGTTTTAATGAATTCATACAAGCTATACATTTTTTACTATTTAGTCTGCCCTTCATGAAGATGAATAAAATTAACTTTTTGGTCTCTTTGTTAAATGTAAACAATTATGTTTCGATCGGCTCGGACTCGGAGTACGGTGAAATTACAGCAAGGTCGTGCACTACAGTAGCCCTATTCTACGGTGGATGCCTCATTAATATAACGACTACTTGGATTGGTCTGCGTTCCTATCGTAGCGCGTAACGAAATTTCTCATTGGTTGAATTTCCTTCGTGTAGATGGATACACAATATAGTTTTATACACATGCGATAAACGCTGCCACAAATCTTGCAGCATGTACTTGCAGCGATGCGCGCGCTCACGAACACGACTCGTATCACCGCATGCATGCACGGGGACACATTTACCAGGGGGACACTTTCAACGTTGGGTAGGGGGACATACATTGTATTTACCAGGGAGGGGGACAGATCTACCTAGGTAAATGTGTCCGTGAGAACAGAGCAGATCAAGCTTGAGCTTTTCTACACTTGACGCGCGTCATAAGCTGTGTTGGTGTAGGAGCCCAGATACTTGAAGTCATCAACTTTATCGAGCTTACTGTCATCCAGTGCAGTGACGTCGTCAGAGGTAGATGGGTTGATGACCATGTACTTAATCTTCTTTGCATTAAGAGAGAGACCATGGAACGGACTTGCAGCAAGCTTCTACTTTATGGAGGAGAGATTTGGCATCAAGGAGGGTGTCAGCAAGCAGACTAGTGTCATCTGCATAATCTAGGTCGGATAGGTATTGGGCAGGGTGTGTACTACTCCTTCGGCGTGAGAGAGTGAGACCATCGGTGACATTTAATGCCGTCCGCCGGGCATAATCCAGAACTATGATGAATAGGTAGGGGGCGAGAGGATCACCCTGAAGAACTCCAGTGTTGACGGAGAACGAATCAGATTCACCTTCGGGAGTGAGAACAACAGCACTTGTATCTTCATACATAATTTTGATGGCATGAATGGTCTCCTCCGGAGAAAATGAGGGCAGCTTGTAAATAATATGCTTTAACCCATCCGCCGAGCTCATGAATAAAAGTTACACCCTCAACTTGAATATTCTATATTAGGGAGTCTGAGAGCCACAACATTTGGGAATTGATGAGATATGGCAATGAACCTCTGGCCCGGACTTGGGGCTTCCAATTCTGAGCATTTTGGATGCAATTGGGCTCGAAAGTGGCATTATTTTGCCAAGTTGTGGAGGGATCCTTTTTCAAGATGGCTACTTTTCCGTTTAAAGAAAAATTGGGGTCATCTTCTTTGAGTAAGAATTCCTCGAAAAGTCAATGGTCAACCCACCAAAAAAAATGAAAAGAAAATGAAAGATGGCATGTTGATCATCATTTTACTGTGCAGCTAAAATACCTGTGAGAGTTCTGAGTATTTTTTTAAAAAGAATTCTGAAGCATGGGCATTAGCACTGGTGTCTATGGGAATTTTATTGCACTGTTGCACCCTTAATGTAATCGTCATTTACATGTTGAAGGCGTATTGCGATCATAATAGCGCCATCTATCAAGAGAGGGCGGTGTTCTTCCTAAGCGATGCAAGCCCAAAATAATGGACACACGGACGTACGTACGTGACGGAAGTACCAACAAAAAATAAACAGTTCATAAACTGATAAATGACTGCATCATGTTTACGTAACACTGTAAATAACTGTCGTGGAAACGGATATAGGCTGCGCTTATTGATGGCTTTTTCTTGACAACATTTTGTTTGGTGTTACGGTGTTACCAAAAATGGAACGAAATCGTTGTTGGTTCCGACTGAAACTGTTACTGGCTGTGGCGATGTGCTTGGTTGAAACAGCACGCATTACAAATCAGGTAGGAAAACTGTCATGACAATTAACTACACAAACATGACAAATAATGCAAATTGGACTAACTAGCTAGGCCTTAAAGCACTAACAAAAAAATGTTGTTTGTTGGACAAGTTGGAAAAAAGTTTTATAACTTTTAATGTGGTTATTTAATGTGGTTATTTAGGTTGGAATTAGTCCGAGTAACTAGCTGACTAGGACTCTACGGATCGCTTTTTTAACATTTGGACATGGTCGGGCAATACTATCGCCCGACCATGTCCATGTCCAAATGTTAAAAAACGATCCGCAGAGTCCTAGTTACTCGGACTAGGTTGGAATAAATGCAATAGGCCTATTCTGACTTGACCATTTGACTGTATGTAACGTAAGCAGAGCCATGAAATTGGATCCGGGTGTTCCTTTGCCAGGCCAGGGTCAAATCTCAGGAAGAGGGTGTTATACTACCGGTGCTTTGCACTTTTTCACTTACAAATTTCTTCCCATATCTGTTATCTTTCAGGTCAAAGATCAAAGGTCGCCAGAAACAAGAAGGTCATTGGTTGCAATGGTGGAAGAACGTTCCGACTTAAACACAATTCCCGCTGGTTCCATAGGGATTGATACCAGTGCAAAAGCGAATCCGTCCACAGAAGCTGAAAGCAACGTTGAAGAAAACAACCGTCCAAAGCCAGGAGAAGCGAACCCAAATAAATCAGTATTTGGTGAATATGGATCAACCTCAAAGAAAACGTCAGTTGCAGAAGCACTGCATTTACTTAGAAAAGGACAAATACCCGTTGAAGGTAGATCTCTGAGAGCTCTGCGGAGGGATACCTTTCCTAGCAAGCAAGGAGAAACAGATGTAGAAAGTTTAGTTCAGAGAACAAACGGGCACGGTGTTGTTAGCAAAAAAACACCCAAGCTGTATCTTGGGAAGACAAGGAACACAAATAGGATGAGAAGAGAAGTTGGTGTTACCACATCAATGATTGCAAATGAATCCACTGACAAAGTCACTAAAACTACTTCCAATCCAAGTCCTTCCACAGTGAAGCAGAACGGCAATGAGCAGTCAAGAATCACCACTCAAAATGTTCTGTCAGCGACAACCTCTGCAGCCAATAACAACAGGCCAACTTTCAATTCGCTGCCACCTCAGAGTTTATCTCCAGTGCCTCCAGAAACCTCGACAGAGGCACCAGAGGCAGCGCCCAAACCCTCTGACCAAACCACTTCTTCGGATCAAGGAGTCTTAACAACAGTGACAACATTGAACCCTCTTCCAGTCCCAACTTCCATGCACTCTACGAAAGAGCAAGTCCAGGTCACTAGTCAAGCCACTTTTGTAAGCACTGCTGCAAACAGACAGCCCATCTCGACGCCAAGAACGTCAACAAAACAGCCCGAACCGCCAGTCATCAAACCATCAGCACCTACTTCCAGACCTAAAAATAAACTGTCAACCAAACATATCACTACGGTGTCTCATACGACAGCATCTTTGATTTCTTTGCCTACATCACCGTGGCCAACAAACGCAACCAGCACCTTACCGGAGTCCAAAGTCCAGGATGTCAAAGAGAGGACCCCGGATGGCGATTGCGCAAACGGAAACTGCGATTCGGCCGTTATACCACTCAATCAGTGGACGGACGATGCTTACTGGGCCTGCGGTAGCCTTCTGACTATACTGCTGATCTTGACGGTCGCCGTGCTGTATACGGGACTCTGGAGAAAGCGTAACCACATGTCCAACCCAATCAGTGACGTCAGCTGCCATGCACAGGCTAGCCCATCACGCAAAAGCAAAACAGATATCAAAGGTACAAATATGAAAAATGACGATCAGATGTAGGAGATATATTATAAGAAACTAGTCAAAATGTTTTCCAAACCCTGTTCATCCTCAGCTTTAGCTTCATTTCTGGCTACAGAATCATTTAAAGCTACTGTCCATCATTGCAGCGATCCAAAAAGAAACTGACGTAATTACACGTATTGTTTGAAAACTTACTTGGTTTAAAGATAGTAGTGGGACTTAAAAGTCCTTGTCAAATTATTCTCTCTGGCAAGCTGTCATTTTGAAGAAAGCAATGAAAGAAGGCCATTTCCAACGATGCGTCGTAAGACGTATTTTTGGAAATTTCCGTTTGTAAATGTAGTTGGTTTTTAATTTTATGTATTGGTGTGCGGTTGCTCTTATTCGTTAGGTTAGTGTTAGGCATCGCGTAGCTGCAATTGACTAAGTGAGAACCCATCCCAGGCACTTATTTTTGGCGCAATTCAATTTGAATTGAAACCGAGATCTTCGAATATTGTTTTCTTAGAATGTACAGCATTCACAGAACTAAAAGTTCATCAGGTTAGTTGTTAAGTACCCATCTTTAAATTTTTAGCACTTTTGTTGCTTCAAAAGTAAAATATACACAAATGACAAATGATATATCCTAATGTACATGTACATAACGTCACAGAAACATAAAACATTTGCTCAAGTGTTTGGGTCTTACAAGTCGTTTGACTATACGCCATTTTCCCACCATGCCAACAGATTTTCTGAAAATGAAGTTGCGACACATCAAGAACCTGACCAACTCCCCGCTATCGACATCGTCATCACTGAGCAAGCAGGATACCAGGCAACACAACGGCAGCAGCACAAGGAGCACTAACGGCAGAGCCGGTAACCAGTACCCACACAGGTACGACAGGCTCCCTCTACTGGTGGCTGACGAAAACGAGGACGAGGAGGAATTTACGAGAGAGTGGGGACCACGGACAACGGAACATAATGTATGATCGTTGTGAATGTGAATACAGCACACAAGTGAGTCCAAGTAAATTAAGGCCGAGTATAATAGTATCTCGTCCGCGCTTTTTGAAAAAATAACGGAAGCGGCCTCCTTTCAAAATTGCTTTGAAAGAAGCGTCTTCACAGAAAGTGCCTTTGTGAATATATTTTTATATTGTGGAGGGGGGGGGGGGGTTGGGGGTTTCAAAAAGCTTTTTTTAAGGCGTGTTTGTGTGGACAAGCATTACATTCACTGTGTGGACTTCCGAACAAAAGATGTCCACATAAACCAGGTAGCGGCGACGTTGTGTGGACTTGCCCACGTCCACACAAGGTTTTCCCCTGTCTGGAAAACAGCTTTAGTTTAGAGGCATTTTTGGGTTAGGTTTATCCGTAGCAAAATGAAGAGAAACACTAAAGGGAATCATAGAAAAAATTTTTAGGTTGAAAGAGTTTTCACAGTTTGAGAAAAACTGGTTTTTCTTAACTACACGAAAAAACAAAGGAATGTTCACACTAGGTATACATGTAAAACAAACGTGTGTGTGCTTAATTGAAAAATTTGTCTGTGACAATCATGATTGTCATGGCAAGTAGAACTTCCATGACTTTTGAAAAATATAATGCACTTAATTATAATTTCCCCTCTTGATCAAATGAGTATTCGAACACAGGGTTAACTTAATTTATTTTCCATTATTGTGAATTTCTGGGGTTTTTTTTATAAATAAATCGTTAAATCACAGCCAAAAATGTTTGTGATTGAAAGTAAGGTTTTAAACTTTCAGAGATCTGCAAAATGTCCATTTTGACAAAATGTGCATCGTTACACAGAAGACACCCATCCCACTTAACCTGTGCAAATCTGTCCAACTAAAATAGCCCTGAAATTGCAATTCATGTGTATTATACTATTAAGTCTATCAGTGATTGAAAGTAAGGTTTTAAACTTTCAGAGATCTGCAAAATGTCCATTTTGATAAAATGTGCATCGTTACACAGAAGACACCCATCCCACTTAACCTGTGCAAATCTGTCCAACTAAAATAGCCCTGAAATTGCAATTCATGTGTATTATACTATTAAGTCTATCAGTGATTGAAAGTAAGGTTTTAAACTTTCAGAGATCTGCAAAATGTCCATTTTGACAAAATGTGCATCGTTACACAGAAGACACCCATCCCACTTAACCTGTGCAAATCTGTCCAACTAAAATAGCCCTGAAATTGCAATTCATGTGTATTATACTATTAAGTCTATCAATGAAAGTTGTCATTTATTTTTAGCTGGAGGTAACCAGCGCAACAATTCATCATGTCTCTCTAGCTAGTAACAAACGTTGACATTGTCTTATTGCTCTTACATATTTTGACCGATTTCAACCAAACTTTGTCAAAAGTATCAGTAGCATAGCCCGAACATGTCAAATGACCCAACCAGGGTCAAAGGTCATCATGGGTCATCATGGGACATCATGGTCACCGGGATCAAAAACCTGATTTTGTTTTGCTCAAAACACTACTCCTTCCAGAAATAACACGGCACAATCACGTGACTCACGCATGAACACGAATTCGTTTTCCTGCAGTTTCCGAGATCCGATCGAGCTTATTTATGACAAAAGATTCTTGCTGAACGGTCTTGTACGTGTTTGGACTAATATACATGTAAATTTGTGCATACATGTATGTACACAATGCAAAATGTGATAACAAATACAGTGTGCCAAACTCCAGCACATCTAACTTGCAAATTCTTTATTCAGCAAATCTCATGAAATTAAAATTTGTGTTGGCTACTTGCCAAACATAATTGTGTTGTACATTAGCAATGCAGAAGCAGAGAAAACAAAATAAAGGGAAAGTGCATAAAACCGGAATGCAAAAAATGTGGAACAAACCAAAGGAGCACAGAAAGAATTTTTTTTGGAGAGCTTTCATGGGGAATATTTAGCTCAACTGTCTTCTTTAAATTCTGTCAAATATCAGCCATTCCACTACCTCGAAAAATGATATTCTTTGTTTTAGTAACCTCTTCCTAAAATTGCCGACAAGCGAATGAACAGCCAGTTCAGACTCGCGCATTGTAAAACTGAATAATGGCATTTCGAATATTCATATACATGTATTCTATCAAGTCCGAGTAAGAAAAATCAAACGGTGAAATATTCAAAACTTCGCAGCACTAATTGGATTCGTGCGCAGTGGCGAATTTTGACGGATTCAGGGCGGTTCCTAGAGACTACAGTTATGAATAAAGTATTTTTTTTAAATGTTGTTTGTATACATGTGCATGATGTTCATTTCAGCAAGGCCATAAACGGAGGCCCAGTTTGAACATGGAATGTAGAGATTAATTCCACAATTGCTTTGTCCGTTTGTAACAGGTGGATTGGACTCTGAGTAACTTTCATGTGTATGTACACGTCCGCATGTTCTTTGTATGAATTATGCATCGATATTTATCAATGCAAAAAATACAAAGAGAAAGTGAGACGAAACATGTGGTTCATTGAAAAGCTCGACAGCTGCAGCAAATATGCCGACGTGTTACTGTTAAATTCTCTGGCGGTATACCCAGTTTGATGGACAGTGTATTCGGGCCTATCACACTATTCAGTTCAGTTCAGTTCAGTAACTTCAGTTCAATTTATTTCATATCAACATTGAAAACAGTGATAACAATGCTCATCATACATTACACTGCAACTATTCAAAGTCTCTGTGTTGGACCAAGGTCCAACACAGAGACTTTGTAAACCCCTTTTACACTAAACAAGATTTTAACACGGCTTGTACAATAGGACCGACACTCTTTAACACGGGTAAAATCAAAACCCTGCTTGGGACCAGGGTTAAGAGGCTCGACCCGGGTACAAAATCCACCATCTACAGCTGACCCCGTATACACACAGACAGTGTAAGTCTGAATGGTGTGCCTTGCCTACCCGTGTTGGATTTAGTTCCGTTTACAGTGGAACCATGTTAATTGGAACCATGTTAATTTCAGCACGGGTAGGGGAGTATGATCAGGCTTTATTCTGTTTGTGCCAACAAAAGCTAGTAACAATTTTTTTTTTAGTTTTTAGTTAGTTTTCATGCCTCAGCAGCTTACTGAAATTGGCCAACTGTTACATGTTTTGATGTTCCAAGTCTGGTTAAAAAAAACCCACAGGAGATCATGTAAATTTCTGTTAACCCCACGGGCCGTGAAAAAAATTAAAGGGAATGTACATCATTGGCTTTTGCTGTAATTTTCAGAAATGAACTACTTGAGGGGTTAGTATAATAGGTCAAATATTGTTACACTGACATGTTTGAAGTTTTGTGTTCGAAAATGCTGGAAAAACCAAGAAAAACGAAAATGTTCAAGTAGTCTGGTTCCCTGACTCCACTAAGGATAAAATGGATCAATTTATAGATGCCGGAAAATTGTAAGGTAAGGGAATCACGGTGTAGCTGGCCTGCACCCGTTCATGAACATGTTACCAAATAGCAAACAAAATTTGGACTGAAAAAATGGTAAATTTGAAGCAGAAGTTGAAAAATAGTTAGGTTTTTCCAACGGTGATCGGCCGACCACTGTTGGAAATGTATACAAAAATGCCAATTTCTTGAAAGTGACTTCACACCAGGAGCCATAATTTTACAGGATGCTTTTGACTGTCATTTACCAACATCCAAGTAAGGTATTTCGTAAAAACTTGATAGTTTTATTTTTCGATGTTTGCAAATGTTGTATATTCCCTTTAATGAAACAGACTATTGTGTGGAAGTGTTATCAGAATCAAGTGTCACAATTGGATTTTTTTTAACAATTCTTTGGAGTTGGGAGATAAGATAACATGAGATAATTTTCCGAAACACTGGCATGGTCTGAAATGATATCAGGTTTTGAGATGTTTAACTTGACTCTTTATGGGAAATAAAAACTAATTAGCCATCTGGTGTTGACATTTGAGATCTACTTCAATTACATGGTTCCCAGCACTTTATGGAAACAAAACTCCCCGACCTTTCTCTGATATTTCCCTGACAGAAATGTCCAAAAGTCCATGATAAATGTTTTCACTTTAAAGGGAAGATACAACATTTGCAAACATCAAAGCAGGGAATGATCAAATTATCACGTAATACCTTACTGAATTGTTACGGAATGACAGTCTAAAGCATCCTTTAAAACCGTGGCTCCTGGTGTGCTGCCATTTTCAAGAAAAACTGTATTTTTCCAACGCTGGTCGGCCGACCAGCGTTGGAGAAAACTGTTTTTTTTTTCAAAAACTGTTCCTATTTTTTCATATTTAGTTATTCTGACTTTTCTTTGCAATTGATTACACACCTGTGAAGGGGTTCAAGGCTTCAAGCTTGCTAGACTTATTCTCTGACCTTAAAATTCCCCAAAGTGTATTAATTGCTCCGTTTCATCTTAAGTGGGGTCGGGGAACCAGACTACAAGAATATGATAGGTTTTCTTGGTTTTTCCAGCATCTACAAGCCCAAAACGTGAATTAAGTCAGTTTAACAATATTTTCTATAACATACTAGTCCTCCAAATTCATTTATTTCTGAAAATTGCAGCAAAAGCAAATGTTGTACATTCCCTTTAACGAGGTTGCTGAGAAGTCAAGAGGCGATTGCAGCAAAGCAACTAAGATACTGATAATACATGTACGTATGTACACAGGCAACTTGTGGACAAGCGATGGCCTCCCTTCTTCCCCTTATATAGCCAGTCAGTCAGTGGAGACAACTTAGACACATGGCACAAGGCGCACATGTATACACGTACGCCAAACTGGTGAAAACCTGTGTCTTCTGGGTCACTGTCAAATTCACTGAGTTTTTCCTGATTTTTGGTGTTTTTCCCAAATTCCCTGAGCTTTCCCTGACTGGAAAAGTGGAAACTTATTTTCAAGATTTTCTCTGATTTCCACAGTGGCTGAGAACCCTGAATTAGTTAGAGAGAAAAGTGGGGCATATTTTCTTAAAGGGAATATACAACATTTGCAAACATCGAAAAATAAAACTACCAAGTTTTTGTGAAATACCTTAATAGGATGTTGGTAAATGACAGTCTAAAGCATCCTGTAAAATTATGGCACCTGGTATACTGTCATTTTCAAGAAAATTGGTATTTTTGTATCAATTTCCAACGCTGATCGGCCGATCAGCGTTGGAAACAACTGGCTTTTTTTCAAATACTGGCCACAATTGACCATTGCACTTGTTTGCAATCGATTACAAACCTATGAACGGGTACGGGCCAGCTAGACTGGTTCCCTGACCTTACAATTCCCCAATGTATGTAAACTGCTCTGTTTCTTCTTATATGGAGTCAGGGAACCAGACTACAGGAAAATGATCGTTTTTCTTGGTTTTTATAGCATTTTCGAACCCAAAACCTCCAAAAAGTCAGTGTAACTATATTTGCTTCATATTTCCAACCCCCCAATTCCATCCATTTCTGAAAATTACAGCAAAAGCAAATGATGTATATTCCCTTTAAGGGTATATCTTTGTTGCTTTGTGGGAAAGTTTGTTTTGGAGGAAAGGACACATTGCAGGACCAACCTTTTCATGTCAATTTAACATATTTTTTGAAAATATATTCAGTCGAATCCGTTATCAAAATTAGCACAATGGATCAGCCCTTGAAATTATAGGGTTAGAACTTTGTTACTATAGAGGGTGTACCCAGAATGTGGGAAAACAGTGCAAGTAGCTAGGCCTTCTTTACATGTCATTTTGACAAATTTGCACCCCCCCCCCCAAAAAAAAGAGTTTTAAAGTGGATCATTTATTGTACAACAGAGCAGTCATCTTTAGACGATTGCCTTAGAACTCTGTTGGCATACATTTTTTTGTACACAAGAACATTGTTTGCTTAAAAGGGAATGTAAAATCTGATTGGCAAATGCCTAATGTCTATATAATACCCCCTACCGGTATGTTATTTCACTTCACATTATAATCCATTATGTACACTCTGATGGAGGCACAGTATTGTAGATGATTATTGAATTCAGGTATCGCCTGCTGTGTATTAAAGGGAAGAAACAACATTTGCAAATATCACAAAACAAAATGATCAAATTATCACGAAATACCTTACTGGCTTGTTAGGGAATGACAGTCTAAAGCATCCTGTAAAATCTTGGCTGCTGGTTTGCTGACATTTTCAAGAAAAATTGTATTTTTCCAACGCTGGTCGGCCGACCAGCGTTGGAGAAAACTGGCTTTTTAAAAAAAAAAAACTGCTCCTAATTTTTCATAATTAGTTATTCCACATTTTCTTTGCAATTGATCACACACCTGTGAGGGGGTACAAGTCTGCTAGACTGATTCTCTGACCTTAAAATTCCAAAAAGTCTATAAATTGCTCCGTTTCATCTTAAGTGGGGTCAGGAAACCAGACTACAAGAATAAGATTGGTTTTCTTAGTTTTTCCAGCATTTTCAAGCCCAAAACTTTAAACAAGTCATTTTATTTGCTATAACATACTCATCCTCCAAATCCATATATTTCTGAAAATTGCAGCAAAAGCAAATGTTGTACATTCCCTTTAAATGTACAGTTTGTGCCAAATCTTATTTTGGAATGATACACGAAGGACAATGTAATAAGGCTTGTTGCCCATTTGAGACTTAAAAATAATGACCTTTGCACTGACTGACACTGTATTAATATTCATTTCACTTTTTTTAAGTGACATTTTTAACCTGCCTAATCCATGTATATATCACTAATTCTGAAGGGCACTTTCGTTTATTATTATAAAGCCTTGGCTTTTGCTAAAATTTTCAGCTTCATTATTTTAAATGAAATGGCTTTCAGAAGCTTGGTCCTTTTTGTAAAATCTACAGGAAGTGACTTTGGGTTTCATTTTGTAAACATGTAGCAAATATTTTAAATACAGTTTTAAACGTTTTTAAACGTTAAGCCATTCCCCAAAGGCTGAGACCTGCCCATGTTATGTCTGCAGACTGGCTTGATTGGCATGATAA